AAATAGCTGCTTTTATCAATATTCATTATTAATATTAAGAAAGATAATTTAAAAAAAATGAGAAAATGGGACAATTTTAACGGTGCTTCTAACTTAATTTTAAAAAATAATTTTTTACATAAAATAATTATATAGTATTATTACTGAACGTCTTTTAAACTTTGTATTTAAGTAAATTGAAAACTCTTAAGTATTATATAGTAGCGAGAGATGTATATCTTTCATCATGATTTATTTTACATATCAAAATATCATTATAAAATGTGAAGACCAACAGAGTTCACAACGTTTTTTTAACGTAATTACTTACCCCTGGATGTTTTAAATTAATAACTCTTTCCAAAGCAATGACTAATATGTAATTTGCAGCACTTAATGAGCTAGCAGTTCCATAAACTGAATGTGCAACAGGAATGCCTCTTCGCAGAATGGAATTATCTTGAATATCATCAATCCTGCGAAAATAAGTAAAAGCTATATATAATAATTCAAAATTAGACTGATGAGAATAAATAAATTAATTGAGAGAAATAATCCAATTTTCGGACAAAGTGAATTTTAGTGCTTAAATATTTTAGTGTGACTTTATATTCAATTCTGCAAACCACGCGCTAAAAACCTTTTTCAACCTTGGAACGCAAATATAAACAAAACTGAAATATTAATATCATCTATTAAATTGACAAGCAATTCAATAATATTGATGATAACAAGAATCTTAGAAAGATATTAATAATTTTATGCTAATGTAAGTTTCTTAAAAGCTGTAAGTTATTTATTGCGAAAAATATTACCTCAGCCAGGATTTAAACTTGGATGTCTCGAATTCCATAAGGGCGTCCTTTTGATTCGATGAAGACTTCAGTAATATTTCTCGCAATAACCAAAAACTAGTACAAGAAAGTCGTTTTTTAAAAAAACATGTAAATAATTATGATTCGAAATTAGACTAACAAGAATAAAGCGATTAATTAAGAGAAATAATTCTATTTTCGATCAAAGTGGATCTTAATGTTTAAGTATTTCAGTGTGATTTTATATATGTATATTATATATGTATATATATATATCCAATTTTGCAAATTATACAGAAAAAATTATAATTCCTATAAAAATATTAAATTTTAAGTTAATATAATTGCAGATATTTTGCAAAATATCTATATCTGCACTTTAATTAATTATCCAGTTTTTAACGGGATGCAATGTTACAAAAGACAGAATAATTTAAGATATAATTTTATAATTAATGAGAAAGATATGTAAAAAAAGAAGCAAAACAAAATATTATGTTGATAATTAATAGACTGCAAACTTACAAGATGCTCGAATTGTGAAGCATATTTATTATATCGTCGATTTCTTGGACTTTATCATCTGATATCTTTAGCCAATAATTAAAAGCTTTTGCTAATTTTGCTCTTATTTGTTTTCCGGGAACTTGAAGAATATACCTAATTGGTTCCAATAATTTCTGCAAGAAATTTTATTTCTAAATGTTATCTAATTCAATTAAAAAATAGCAAAAACATAACAAACATAAAAAGATTGTATAACTATCTAATATCTAAATTCTAAGCAGAATCATAAGGCTCATATTCCTGTAAGATGTGTAAGAATTCTTAAATACTTATATCATTATATAATATTTTTACAAACAGCTTACGAGCCATAAAATTTACATGTGAAATTATAAATATTTATAAATAATTGTATGTACATAATAAAATTAGAATACTAATCATAAATTCTTATAGATATTACATAAACATGTTAGAGTCTTACGATTCTGCTTAGAATTGACTTATAAAATTCCAGAAATTTTCGTAATTTCCAAGAATTGCCCAAAATTCAAGATTTCGAATGTTGAAATTTAAACATTTCTAAACATTACTAAACATTTCATGATTATTTTCCTAGAAAAAGAAATTTTTTTTAAACATATAGAGAAGTCTTCTTTGTAAGAAACTTGTAAATATTATTAAAAATGTTATATTAAAGTTAAATAAAAGGAAAGAGACATAAATAAAAGTAAAGAAGACTATTTAATAATATTTATATATAAAATAAAAGAACTATTCTTTAAAGTTATTTAACATATTTTCAGAATTTACATATAATGTCAAAAGTAAAGCTGTAAAAGTAAAAAAATACAAAGAGTAGAATTAAAAAGAAAATGTTTTATTTTTATAATATATATACAGGATGTTTCAAAATTCGCGATCGCGAAGACGTGATACTTGAGGCTAAAACAAATAACTTTTTCCTTTAACGAAATTGCGTCCGATAAATAATTTTTGCGCTTGTTTGTTAACTTCAACCTGCTTTCCTGCAAAAACTACTTGTTAGACGTAATTTTACACAAGGAATAAGTTGTTTCTTTTAGCATAAAGTATCACGTTTTGTACTTTGCGGGTGCGAATTTTGAAACACCCTGCATATATATATAATAATTATACATAATAATTAAAAATAAAAAAAAATTCGAGAAGAATTTAACTCCACATTTTCTCCTTGGATGCGCCTGTATTAATATTAAACACAGACAATAAAAAGACCTATACCCTAAATTCGATCTAAATTATATAGGTTCCTCGTTGTAAACATTTGAGAGATGACCTCACCTGGCTGTACACATATGTCATGTCATTAGTTATGGACTTATATCATATTCGTAGATAAAAAATTTTAAAAAATTTTAAAGGATCGTGTTCGAAAAGTTCAAGGAGTTTCGTATTCAAGCCGCTTACGGCTTGTAAATGGTTGGTGCCTAGATTTATTTTGGGTTGCATTATAGGCCAGGCCGCGTATAGATAATCTCGATGTAAACGATCTAAATGAAATAATTACAAGTGTCTTGCAATCATTTAAAATAGAGTCTGTTTTCTGTGGCTGAACAAGTGTACTTTTTGGAATTTAAGTGAGATATGACATTGGATTATAAATACCAACGTTATCGTCAGTTGTTACATGAAACTCTTATCAGTCAACTGACAGATTATTTCGGAGCTAGGACAATTGAAATTCAGATACAAATCGTCAAGTTGGGAACAATCGAGAGAAGGAGATAAAACGAGGAAAAAAGGAGTTGTATAAATCTTCGTTCAATTTACAGAAAATTTTGTGTAATTAATTATATTATACTAGTGAAATATTAAAATAACATATTTATATATTAATATATTTCTTTTTCAGGATAAAAAGACGTTTATACCGATAAAGAACTTAAGCGCGCGCATGATAGAATTAAGAAATTAATAGCGTCTTTCATTGGCGGAAAAGGGCGCACTCAATGCATTTTAAAGCCGTTGCACAAAAATTGGCGTAAAGACCGTACGTTTAATAAAAATATAGAGACAAATTAAATCACGAAATATTCGATACATTTTATTATGCTATTTGATAAAATACATTGGGCATTTTATCAATTAGACATATCTCACTCATTTTTACATTTAGATCAAAATAGTGTACAACAGCTTTAATGTGCACTGTTCTGCGCAGAAGTTCTGCCAATAAAAAAACTCTATAAATGTACATAGATTATAATATAGTAAAGACTAACCTCATCTTCCTCTTTGTTACCACTCGTAGAGTAATAAAAAGGAATAGGCTTATTGGAGTCCGCCATATCTGAGCGGTGATATATCTCTTGCGCAATGATGAACGTAAATGAGATAACTGCTTGGATCAGTCAGAAATCTTAAAAATAAATTCACGATGACAGGCTAACGGCTGACTATAAACTGGTATAAACGTCAATTGTGCGATGCCTGCCGCCTACCGGAGCCGGAACACTAATTCTGATACTGACTGTTTGGTACATGCGCAGTAAAGCAAGCGATAGCTCAGGTCTTAAATACTATATATACAGGCTGGTATTCGTAGTCGATTCTTAGGAGGGAGTATAAAGTTTTTCAAAATCCTTCCTTTTTAAATGAAAGATTCTGATTGGTTGATATTTTTATGCTTTGCTAAGAATCTGTGCTGGCCAGTATAGACTGTCTTGAAATGATAAATCAATACGAATATTTATATGTGTATTTCATCATAGGATTAATAGTATATTTCATGAAAAAAAATTAGAGGTTATCGGGAGTCACACAGAAATGAAAAGGAGGGATGTTAAGTTTAATTATTAATGCAAGAAAAATAATATAAAGAATATGATTATTAAATGTAATAAAGTTATTTAAAGTAATTGAGAAAATTATTAAAAATGAGGAAATAATTTGGATGGAGAAAAATAATATATATGCATAATGTTATATTTTATCATAGATGCGCACTTCTTGTTTTACGTAATATAAAGTATATTTACTAGCAAATATATTAAAAATAAAAAATGACCTGATAAAAATGTATAATAATAAAAAACGTCATTGGATCTCTCATAAAAAGGAAATGATAAAAATAAGAGTAGAAAATCGTTCAAGAAAATTTTCCAAGAAAATATGTATTTAATATTATCTTAGAAAGATGATAAGGAAGATAAAAAACTTTTGAAAAATTTTGTTTCTGTTCCCTCTTAAAGAAATCTAGCTAATACTAGCCAATACCACCGATGAGATACTATTAAAGACCGACATCCTTACGGGAGTTCTTGTGAATAATTGAAGTAATTAAGAGTTAAAAATTGATAATATTGTACTAATTTTATGATTTAATTGTTTAGTACACGTATTTATGCATTTAAAACTCAATAATACTCGATTTTTCTTTAAAATTGTGATTTCAGTGTTATGGTGAAAGTTTTATTATCGACAGAGATGATAACTGCAGAGAAAAAAATTGTAATTTTTCTGCAATATATAAGATTTTATAGCTTTACAAGTATGCATATTTATTTATGGAACATTAATGTAATAAAAAATCATGAATTTAATAATGTATGAGCCAAATATTTATGTTAATAATAGCAAATTTATATCAATTATCGATGATAGCGTTTTTTAATTACCTCCGAGCCCTTGGAGCCCTTTTTATACCGCCGAAAATTTGCCCAGGGTTAATAATAGTTTCTCGGTCTTTAATAGTATCTCGTCGGTGCCAATACTAAAAGACAATTAATTAATTACTTATTAAAAGCACCTTTAATACTTTTACTACTCCAAACAAGTAATTAATTATTGTCTTTCAGTAATAAATTGACTAATATTATATTGGATTCCTGTAAAGACAATTAACTTTCTTTATTAAAATATTATTGATATATGACTAACTCGTCTTATTTATATTATAAACTTTCAAGTTTAGTCCTTCAAAGACCACTTTAATTGTAATGTAAAAAATAAAGATCGACGTTGATTTTGTAATTCGCAACAAGTTATAATAAAATACGATCGCTGATTGAGTCATTTAATTTTTATTTAAATTTAAAATTATTCTGACTAAACTTTTTCGCGAATACCGTTATGTATGTAATATTCAAGGCCTTCAATGGAATAGTAACGAGTAACGACCAATCAGATTGACTATCACGTTCTTTCCAATCTCCCTCCGAGCAACCTTTCCTAAAAACACATCTTGCATTCCCATCGATTACTTTCTTACTTCATGACAATGTCGTAAACGCATGCGCATCGAGGTGACGCGCACCGAGCGCGGTGCGCTTTCGGAGTTCGGTGGCCTCGTCAATGTTCGGGGTGTTTTCGGGCAGTTTCGCAAGACGCGTCGTCGGACGACGGTAAGTACAGTCTGTCGTCGATTGACGTCACTCGTCTCCTCTTTTGCTCCGAGATCATTTGAAATATGAGCGCCGGTGACAGAAGCCGCGCTGTCGCGTTGTGTCGTCGTCGTCGCTGTGTCAGCATAAAGTGCACAATCGTGTGAGGAAGACGAACAAGAAGAAGGACGAAGAGAAGGCGGAGAGGAAACGGATAAAACGTCGCAGCGCGGCGTCGCGAAAAGGTCAGCCCCTATCGAGCGCCTCGAGAGTAGTCGAGAGGAGGCGACGTCGCCTCTCGCGGCCGATCACACGTCCAATATAATTCGCGAAAGGGGGGAAAAGAGGCATCCCCGCGCACGTCGCGTCCGTCTATCTATCCTTTCGTCTTTCTACCGACTTCCCTTCCTCGAGCACGTCCTTGAACGTCGACGCCGGTTCCCCATGGGATCTCCTCGCGCTTCTCCCCGTCGCGCCGCGCTCCAATGTCTATTATTTATCTACTGACACACAGCATGGTATCAGTCGCGGTACCTCCTATCGTTATCGCACTGAGATGCTGATACACTCCGATCTTAAGCTTCGCCTCTTTAACATCGGGAATCGCGAAGAGACTGCGTAAACACGTATGACGTATGTACATATATATCCATCTACCGAATTTAGCGCTGAATACAGCGGCGGTCTCGCCGACGATGGAATTTTTTTGACCGAGCGTGAATAACGGCCTCGTGCCTACGAATAATTTACGGGTATCACGACGATTGAAAAATGAGTTAAGCGAATCTTTTTCGACTGTCATCGTTTCTGTCCGTCTTTTTTTTTTTTTTGCCCTCTTCTTTTTTCTCCTGTTTGTTACGAAAGCACAATTGACCTTCACGTGATGGAGCAAGTTTTTATTATACGCGCGTGTTTCATGATGATTTCTGCGTCTTTTGAAAATCACCGTGTTTATTAAAGTTCACGGCTCACAGAAGTAAGTTGACACCAGCGCAGCGGGGTACAAGTCGAACCAGCTGAGCGCCGAGCGACAGCTGGAAAATCGCATGACAGCCTCCGAGTTTGGATTTTTCCTATGATGAAATGCTGCTCGACGGTGCGAAAGAGAGAACGGTCTCCCAGGAGAGCGTGAGACTTAGTCACGCGTCTTAAAGACCATTCGTTGACGTTCGCGATTACTAATGCAGCGGTACATTCCTCCACGAACGCACACCGCTGTTCCACTTTACGTTCCTTCTTTCCTCTGTTTCGCCTTCCTCCTTCGGTTGTTCAACCCCGCCCGCTGTCAGCCGGCAGTCCGTACTCGTGTCTCTCATTGCTCCGGAATGAGTTGCTTCGATCCGCTAATTAACAGGGTTTCGAGTCAGGATGAACGAATCTCTTTCACGCAACCGAACGTCTCTCGCTAATGTATAATGCTGTAATGATTATCGTAGTGATTAACAGCGATAACATGGGGATCGTTAGAAAAATGGCTCCGTTGACGAATCATCCCGAATCTGCTTCAAAATAAGAGCAGTGTCTTTACGTATCACTCTCGTGCGCACATTTCATATGTAAAAGGGATGATTTTACTGCGGTGTTAAAAAATTTAGGTAGATATGGAGCTAAAAATAATTTTGTTGGACCATCAAAAGAATGATGTAGGACACTCAAGCATGGTGATCGATATTGCAAAATTTTTGCATATTTCAGCAATCAGTTTGAATGTCCTACATAATTATTCCGATAGTCCAACACAATTATTTTCAGATCTGTATTTACATCTACATTTTTTAGATGCTTGAGCAAAACCGTTGATTTTAATAATGGATTATTTAAATTATTTTCAGATTTGTATTTAGCTAAATTTTTAGATATTTCAGCAAAAAAAAAAAGCATTCCTTTTCGTGTAAGTTTAGACATGTTTTAGACGATTGCTGAATATACGAGTGTACGAGTATATATAATTTATGGCTAAATAGGCTGGCTAATATCTGGCTTTCCTTTATTTTTTCAATAAAAAACTTTTCTCTTAAAATAAAAAATATTAATCGATAATTTGTTCTCAAAGTTCGTTATCCCACCGAATAAAATACATGCATCGAGAATCTTGAGTGCATCGCACCGAGGGATTCGATCGGGTCGCTACGTCGCGTCGGATTAAACGAGAGTTTCATAGTCGATCGCTTCGCGCCTCGGAAAACTCGTGGAGCGGAGAATGTCGGTCATGTTGGTGATATTTTTGGAACGATCACAGTGTTTTTACGATCTATTGAAGTTACGATGCAATCGCCGCCGCGGGTTTCCGATTTTCGATCATCTCATTATCTCTACGATCGCAATGCGATAAGCTTTAGTTATATCTAATCTTACGTTGATAAACATTCGCCGGACAATGATCATTTTAATGACGATGACCGATGTTATCTCTCTTGTTTTTTATATGCAACTTATTCACGATATATTTGCAGCGAGACAAAGTGCAATGTTTAGTAAGCAAACGTATTCATAGTGTTACATGCTTAACATTTGCTTACTTTATAGTAATTATAGTATATTTAGTGTATGTACGAAAGAACGGTTTTATGGAAGTATCTGGAAATTTAACTTGGTGTAAATCTAAAAATTTGTTGGACATATCTAAACTTACACGGAAAGAATGATTTTGCTGAAGTATTATTATTTGAAGTAGTATTATCTGAAAGTTTAACTAAATACAAATCTGAAAATAATTTTTTTGAATCATCAAAATAATTATGTAGCAGGTTCAAGCATGACGATAACACTGCAAAAGATTTAGACATTCTAGCAATCAATTTGAGCTTCCTCATCTAATTATTTTTATGATCCTATAAAATTCTTTTTAAATTTGTGTCTAGTTAAATTTTTAGATACTTTAGTAAAATCCTTCTTTCCGTATTTAATATTTACAAATATATTCATTCGATTCTTGGACACATTAGGAAAGATTCATCTAATTGGAGAATTAATTAATTAGATATCCGGGATCGCAGCGATGTTCAAGACGACCACCTGTAAGATGTTGGTCCAGGTGTCGGCCGTACTGCCAGATGACAGGCCAATAACTGCCATTAGTGTTGTGGAAGACTTAGACAAGTGTCCACCCAACTTCACAGTGGTATGCGCATTAATTCACTTTATTTATTATTGCTTGTCGCGATGATCAGAGATGATTGGTATATATCTCGTTAAGGTATCGAGAACTT